TCCCCTTCATTCCCGATGCCGCCCCCCCCCCCTTTTCCCCACTCTCGCGCAAACTCGGCTGCAGGCGTAGGCGCGGGCAGAGGTGGTGACGGGGGGGAAAAGCGACGGGCTGACGACGAGGGAAACGCGACGGGCTGGCGACGGGGGGGACGCGACTGGCTGGCGACGGGGGAAAACGCGACAGGCTGGCGACGGGCAGGCGACGAGGGAAAAAAAACGACGGGCTGGCAACGAGGGAAACGCGGCCAGCTCGCCGCCGCGCCCGTCGCAGCGAGCGCCGTGCCGCGAATGGGTGGGCCCATTAACTTAGGTCAGGATTTTAATCGCTCTATACCATGTCAAAACACTATCGAAGCGGGTAACCGGGTTTAAGGAGGGCCTAGGCTTAGTAGCCTAGGCCAAGCTATTGTCGAGGTCAAGGCCAAGGGAGTGTCGAGAGAAATTGACCAAACAAGTTAGCTTCACTAAAGCAAAGCATACAAGATATAGTCGAGAAACACAAACAAGAGGTGCACACCAACAGCAAAGAACTATAACTACAGTAACTACAGCAAGCAGGATATATCTTAAATATAACTTTGACAGTTGGAGCTGGAGGTGCAGCCGCTGGCGGTGCTCGGTCTGGGGGTGCTCGGTCGCGGGGTACTGGAGCTGGAGGTGCTGGCGCAGGTGACGCTAGCTCTGGGGGTGCTGGAGCTGGAGGTGCTGGCGCAGGTGGCGCTAGCTCTGGGGGTGCTGGAGCTGGAGGTGCCGGCACTGGAGGTGCTGAATCTGGGGGTGCTGGAGTTGGGGGTGCTGGCACTAGCGGTGCTAGTTCTGGGGGTGCTGGAGTTGGAGGTCCTAGCACTGGCGGTACTGGTTCTGGGGGTGCTGAGTCTGAGGAGACTGACGCTGGAGACCCTGGTTCTGCGGAGTCCACCCCGCCCCCCCACCGCCACGACACGCGTCTCCAGGCTGCCCGTCGGCGTGAGCGTGAGGAGCAGGAGCGGTTGGAGAGGGAGCAGCAGGAGCTGCGGGTGCTGGACCTTCTGGAGCAGCAGCGGCGGCAGCAGCAGCAGCAGCAGCAGCAGCAGCAGCCGCAGCCGCAGCCGCAGCCACAGCCGCAGCAGCAGCAGCAGCCGCAGCCGCAGCGGCCGCAGCCGCCACCGCAGCTTCCTCTAGAGCGGCGGTTGTTCCCAACTGTGAGTGGCTTGCGGGCCCTTGGCCTTTCCTCCTCTCCTCCTGTCCGCTCCCAGTCTCCTCCTGTGTTTGTTCCTCCGTTGCCTCCTCCTGACGACCGTCCGGCGGTCTGGTCTTCTCCTCCTCCTCAGTCTCCTCCTCCCTCAATCCGTCGCGACTTGATCACTCGTTGTCCTCCGCGTGCTCGTCACTCGTCCCCTGTTACTGACCTCCACACTGCCCTCCTTTGTTCGTCTCGTCGTCGTTCTCCTTCTCCTGTGTCCGTTCTCCCGTCTCCTCCTCCGTCCTCTCTACCTGCCCTCCCCACTCCTATCTCTGACTACTACCGCGCTGTTCGTCCTGTTGCCGCACGTGTCCTCACCACTCTTGTCACCGACCCTCGTTTCCCTCCGTCGTCTGTCTCGGCTCTCACTGCCGCTGTCGCTGAGTTTGCTGCCGCCAGCCGCCTTGACTACGCCACCCGTGTGGTGCCAGCTCCTCCCTACCGTCCTCTGTCCGTCGGGGGTGGGTTTGCCCTTGGCTGTGACGTCCTAGAGGACAGAGAGTCTGAGCTGGAGTACTGGGCAGCCGCTTCTCCCTCTGTGTGTGCCATGCTGCTCTCCCCTGAGGGAGACCCCGACGCCCTTGACATACCGACTCCTCGCACTTACCGCGAGGCAGTGTCCGGGGCGTGGGCCTCTCAGTGGAAAGCGGCTATGGACTCAGAGTTGGCGTCTTGGAGATCCACAGGCACCTACGTCGACGCAGTTCCCCCTCCCAGGGCGAACGTAGTCGATGGCATGTGGCTCTTCAAGGTGAAGCGGCCGCCTGGAGCACCGCCGGTGTTCAAGGCGCGCTACGTGGCTAGGGGTTTCAGTCAGCGTGAGGGAGTTGACTTCTTCCAGACCTTCGCCCCGACCCCGAAGATGACTACTCTTCGGGTGTTACTCCACATAGCAGCGCAGCGAGACTACGAGCTGCACTCCCTCGACTTCTCCACTGCGTTCCTCCAGGGCCGACTGCACGAGGAGATCTGGCTGCGCCGTCCTCCTGGCTTCACTGACACCTTCCCACCTGGGACCCAGTGGAGCCTGAGGCGACCAGTCTACGGTCTCCGCCAGTCGCCCCGTGAGTGGCACGACACTCTTCGCTCCACGCTTTGTGACCTTGGGTTCAGCCCGTCCTCCGCCGACCCGTCGCTGTTTGTTCGAGTGGGTTCTACTCCTTTCTTTATCCTTGTCTACGTCGACGACTTGGTGTTTGCTACAGCAGACAGGGCAGCCCTGGCTCAGGTGAAGTCCGAACTGCAGAAGAGACACAAGTGCACTGACCTGGGTGAGCTGCAGCGCTACCTTGGCCTGCAGATCACCCGGGACAGAGCTGCTCGCACCATCACACTGACGCAGTCACACATGGTGCAGCAGGTCCTTCGGCGGTTCCACTTCCAGTTCTCCACCACACAGCCCACTCCTCTTGCTGTTGACCACAGACTCACGGGCCCCTTTCCTGACGAGCCCTTTGAGTCCAGTGGACCCTACGCAGAGCTGGTGGGCTGCCTCATGTACCTGATGACTTGTACTCGACCGGACCTCGCCTTTCCACTCAGCATCCTTTCTCGCTTTGTTGCGACTGGGAGACACCGCCCTGTCCACTGGACAGCTGCTGTGAGGGTGGCGAAGTACCTGGCGACTACATCAGGCTTGGGGCTTGTGCTTGGAGGGACTCAGCCAGTGGCGTTGACTGGTCACTGCGACTCTTCCTACGCTGACGACGTGGAGACTCAGCGTTCGACTCAGGGTTACTGCTTCAGTCTGGGAGCTGGTGCTGTGTCGTGGAGGTCTACACGGTCGTCGTCTGTGGCTACTTCCAGTGCAGAGGCAGAGATCTACGCTGGTGCCATGGCGGCACAGGAGCTTCGCTGGTTGACCTTCTTGCTCGCCGACCTTGGTGAGCGGCCTCGCTCTGCACCGACCTTGTACGCTGACAACAAGGCCATGATCCTCCTCTGTCGAGAGCCTCGACTGGAGAGCAGAGTGAAGCACATTGACGTGAGGTACTTCCTCCTGCGAGAGCTGCAGTGACGCGGCCAGGCACGCCTGGACTTTGTGGCCTCAGAGGCCAACACTGCAGACGTCTTCAACAAGGCCCTAGCGCTTGGTGACCACCACAGGTTCTATGTGCAGTTGGGGCTTGTTGAGGTAGGCCCTCGGTTGCTGTAGTCTTGTTGCTTGCTCTGCTTGTTGTGCTTTCCTACATATATCCTAGTGAACTCTTGAACTGGCCTTGTGGCCGCTTGCTTGCGCTCGGAATTTGTGTGGTGTCCTTGAGATCCACCCTGAGCTTGCCTTGGTTCTTGGTTTGACTGGTCTTGTGACCGTTTGTTCTCCTTGCTTGCTTTGATGCCCCTCACTTAGCCTATGGGGGTGTGTCAAATGTTGAACATTGATATGATAGGCTATAGTGAGTTGCACTCTAGGGGGTACAGCTTCTAGGGTTGCTCATTTGTACCCCATTCGTTTCTATTCCAACTATTCCGTTGTTCGCTAACTTTAAGAGTTTCCCCTTTCGCACGAGCTGTCTTGCCCCGTTTCGACTCTGCGACTGAATGGTTATCCGCATGCTTGTGCGTGACGGTTTGGCCATGTGATGCAACCGTTAAGGTCCGGAGGCAAGTGAGGGACGAGACGTTTATGCCGGTGCATATCAGAGAGTCAGAGACCAGAGCAAGGAGGAGGGAGAAAACCGGAAAGAAAAGTGTGCTGAGCTGCTGAAAAGAGTGAGCAGTAGTGTTTCTGCCTTGTGCTGGCGCATTTTTGCCCCTCAGACCCCACGTTTTCACAGCCTTTCGATGGTATTGCAGGGCCTTTGCTCCCGCGGTAGTCATTGCCCTTTCGTCAGCTCCCATTCTGCCATGATCGCATCTGGTGGCACTGTTGAGTCGCCATATGCAAACGTAGGTGCCGGCAAGGCATCATACATGCCATCATCTTTAGAAGTTTTTCTCAACTATTCAGAGACCATGATACCCCACCACGACTCAATCAGCTCGCATAGCTCATGTCAACCTGCAGTTCAGTGGGGATGAGAATGCCGTAGACAGGTTACCAGAGACAAGGAGCTCTAGTCAAAGTGTGAGGAGGTATTTGGCATGTACATTGCATATGGTTGTCTAGATGAAATATATATGCTCCAGTAAGAGAGCTTATTACCAAATCCCAATGTCACCTTGCACCTGGCCCTATCAACATGTACTGCTGGCCATGATGTACTACGCAATCACAAGCACTATGCAACCGCACTGCTAGATAGCCGTGTGTAACCGCTCCTTCTAGCACTTCCCCCAACTAATGACGTGTATGAATCTGGAACCACTAACACTTCTGACTCGTCCTGCGGTTCCTTGTGCTCCTGAGATCCTCGCCCTGCAGCTGAGCTTCCTCTCCCAGCATGAGCAGCAGCAGCAGCAGAGGCAGCAGAAGCCATAGCGGAGGCTGCTGCAACTGCTGCTGCAGCGGCAGCAACAAAAGATGGACGTCCCCCAGGCAACGAAGGGGAGAGCGGAGAGGGTGGGTTAGATGCTGAAGGTGGAATAAGTGGGGTAGTGAAGGACGCGATAGTAGCAGCTGCAGCTGCGGCATCCGCAGCCGACGTGCGAATGGGTAAGCTTGAGATCCGCTTAGGTGTGCTTCTCCTGTAAAGCATGTAAAGCAATACTTGTACAGCAGACAACAGCAGACCGAGGAAGTTTGGCGCCTGCAACCAAAAAAATGAAAGATAGCAGCAATATCAGCCGACTTGCTAAAAATATAATTCAGGGAAGAGGACAAGAGGAACATGCTTACTGCCACAAATATGTCAGAGGTTGACGCTCCATAAGCCGTCCACACAATTGTATGGACAAGCGACACAGCACAAAGCTGGATAGGAAAGAACTCGACACTCCGTGTCTGAATCATTTGTGCCTGCAGTGGGGTAAGGGTCCGTGTTCACACAGCCTTATTTAAAAGGCAACTTGCTGTAATGGTGAACGACAGAAAAGAAAACGGCTCATTTACCACGGCCGTCAAGGGAGCAGCAAAGGAAGCAGTGCTGGTGCAGTCCCCAGAAAGGCCAAACACCAATGGTCTAACAGGTGCAGGTATGACTGACACAGCCAGTGATGCCATCGTGGCCGCACATAGCACAATGCTCGTGATGGCTGCACCAATAAATCTCTGCAAGTGAAACGAACAGAAGCAGTTAGTAAACAAGGTGAACAAGGCTGTTCTAGAACACGACAAAACAGGGACACCAATACGACACATACAGGAGTCGGTACCAATGACATTACCTTGTGTTCTGTGGAAAAGAGATAAAAGATCAAACAGTACGATCCGTTGAACAGCAACCCCAGGATGCTTATAACAAACACGCTGAACGCGTTGGCCACCGCTGGGGATCCGTAAATGGTCCAGACGAACGAGCTGAGCAGGCCGCATAAATAAGGAGCACTTGAGTGTTTGTCTGCAGAGCGCTTCTTGAAGATGTCAATGAAAGTTGGCCTGAAACCATGGAAACGTTAATACACGTGATCAGATAACAAAGAGATTAATTCTTGATGCCGAGAAAAACACCACAGGACTGCTAAAACAAGTACTTGCTTACAATGGTGCAATATACAGAGAGAGACCCGTGATAGTTCCTGCAAGGCAAGGAAGAGAGAAGGCAAGGTTAAAAGAGGCCACACCGAGTAACGGAAAATGAACAGACTCAACATCCGTCAGGCAAGTTGAGAGAAACTCACCTGCGATACCCAGCAGCGATTGAAAAGAGGGGGAATAGAACACGTCTGCGAATCCTGTATTTGAAGACCCTAGAGTCACCGAAGGCAGGGAGGCCATAGCTGCTGCGATAAAAGCTCCAAAGTTCAATAAACTAAGCGACTGGTAGCATTCAACAGCAAGAACTACAACGATTCCGACAGTCAAAAATAATAATGGTCGAAAATCTAGTCTAGCAGAGGCCAAACGCTTGTGTAGATTAGTAGATTGCTGCTTTCCTTGATCGCCTTTGCCGCTAACATGGAGTGGGAGACGGGGTTGGATGAGACAGTTAGCAGCCTCAAAGAAACCAGCTTTCCCGGAATCCCCTAGGAACTGAAGTGGGATTCCCAACAAGCAGGGTAAATATTGCACAAGAGGGAGCGGTGGTGGCTTCGATGAACTGCCTGGTGTCGCCGTTAATACTGAAGGTTCAACAGAACAAGGCGTTTTGACAGAGCCTTCAACAGTGACGCCAGGCGATCTCAAGGGATACGCGTGGCACTGGTTGACGGCGCTTTCGCCACCTGAAACCGCCAAGCCAGCGGACACAGTGGTCCCTGCCACGCGTTCGGAGCTTGATGAACCTCTTTGAAGGACCCGTGGAGCCGCTACTGCAGACGCAGCCCCGCTGCGCTGGGGGCCAAGCTGGTTCCGGTCGCGCATCTTTGCGTTCTGCGTCAGCTGCCCTGTGATTGGGGTCGATCTGACCAGGCACAAGAGATTCCCGAGGCTGGCTTTGCATTCCTCAGTGACGACGGGGCATGCAGGCTGCTAAGCGGCAAACAAGGGAATTTTCCTGAGAGAAATTAGACCGCGGCTGGACCGCCAAATTCAAACTTGTCACTGACAGGGAGTGGGTGGATGTCACACGTGGACGGGTCAGATTTCGTCTGAGACTGGTGGGCTTGGCGTAAAACGAATTTCGGCGGCGGCAAAACCGATGTAGGGAGGCTGGTTGAGTTGAGTTGAGTTGAGAGATGACCTGGCCCCCCCAACAGTTCGTGGTGCTGAGGGTAGGTGGTGTGGTGATAATCCGGACCTTCTATAGCTGTTCTACACTTGCCAGACAAGCAAGCCATGTATACCAAGTTATACAAGATCATTGAGTTTGAAAAATCCAAGGGATTCAGTTGAGTTCTGTTACAATCCCAGATGGGAATTAGAGAAGGATCGCTCAGGGTTGATCGCGGGGTAGTGTTGCAGCGGAAGTTTTGAGCCTCAGATCAGAGTGAATGTAAATGACCGAAATTAATTATAGCATGCATACATCGAGTTTATATAGGAAATACAAAGGAACACGAAATGACCTAGACAAGCAATGTACTCTAAGAGGTACATTCCCTTACTGCAGCGAATTCAAACCGTGCGGCGCGGGAACCCATTTCAAACATGTTCCCGCTCTTTTCATTTCAAAGGTTTCTGCCTGCATCGGTCTTCGTTAGACGGTTGCTGCGTCGCTTCGACTCTTCTGACTCCTCGACTTTGTACTCGGTAGAGTCGGCTCCTACAGCATACAGGGATGCCTTCTCATAAAACTTCATATCGTAACACTCTCCTTCATTTCTGGGAGCGCAGGTGGCTGACTCGCTTGACTACTCCGGTGGAGTCGGAGCAGTGCTTGTACTGCAGACGTGGCAGTCGCTTGGTGAGGAAATCAGCTGCCATCTCGGTGGTGGGGCAGTACGTGAGATCAATCTTGCCCTAGTCAATTTCGTCCTTGACAAAAAAGTACCGCAGCGCGATGTGCTTCGTGCGGTTTACGAAACCCGGCTTGCTCGCGATTCTGATGGCGCTCTGGTTGTCGCAGTGAAGGCAAAAGGTAGGCGAAGTTGGATTTTTCGCTTCCTGCAACGGTTCCTGCAGGTACATGCCTTCGCGAAGTGCTGCTGCTGCGACGATGTATTCTGCTTCAGCCGATGACAGGGCAACCAGCTCCTGCTTCTGCGAGTTCCAGGAGATTGGTCCGGTTGGTTCCAGACGAAAGAAACAAAGCCGGTTCGGGACCGTTGATTCGCAGGATCAGCGGCATGATCTGCGTCCACGTAGCCGTTGAGGTTGAAGGAGATAATCGTCAGCGTGGAGTAGGAGAGCCCGATGTTAGGTGTGGAGATGAAGTACTGCAGGGCGCGTTCCAGGTCCAGCTGGTTCTTAGCTACTGGCTTGCGAGAGTACTGTGCCAGTTGGCTGGCAATATACGAAAGGTCGGGTCGGCATGTGACAGAGGCGAACAGCAGGCAACCCAGTTGCTGCTGGTACAGTTGAAGTCCTGCGGGGGACAGAGGTTTGTTGTCCGGTTTGTGGTTGGCGCTGGGGTTGCGGTAGGGAGTTGAGAATAGTGCGGGCAACATGTTGAAGCGTTGACCCAGCTGTTATGCGTACTTGGAGGCGGACAGATGAATTGCTTCTGGCGCGTAGAGATGTTCAGTCCCAAAAACTGCTTGACGTTGAGGTTGATGGTGATGTCAACGCGCTGCGCTAGGTTCTTCTCAAGCTGGTTAAGGAGTTTGTTGCAGTTGCCCGTGTAGAGCAGGTCGTCGATGTAGACGGTCAAGAGGATGTAATCACCGTTGAAGTGAAGGCGGTACATTCCCGGGTCGTGCGGCTGCTGCCTGAAGCCGATATCAAGGAGGATCTTGTGCAGATGCTGCTGCCAGAGGCGAGGCGCCTGCTTTATCCCGTAGAGGGATTTCTTCAGCTGTCAAACCCTATGATCTCCTTCTCCGTAGGTGTGTGGCTACTCCACGAAGATGGTTGCGTCCACCAACGCGTATAAGAACGCATTCTTCACGTCGATATGCAGCAGTTGTAGATGTTTAGCGGCGGCAATGGCGAGTAGGATTCTGACGGAGGTGTGACGGTTGGCGGGAGCGAAGGTTTGATCGAAATCGATGCCGTGGCGCTGATCGTATCCGCATACGACCCAGCGTGCTTTGAAGAGCTCGATGGTGCCGTCAGCATTAGTTTTCAGACGAAAGACCCATTTTCCGCTGAGCACCCTCCTCCCTTTCACTGCTGCACAATCGACCAAAACACATGTGTCGCGTGATTCTAGCGCCTTTAGCTCCGCATCCATGGCGGCACGCCACTCCTTGGCGTGAGGGCCGGTAAGGGCCTGGCGCGGGTTCTTGGGCTCGCCGGCGCGCACGAGGGTAGTGACTGACGTGTGCAAGCCGAGGAGTTGTAGGCTAGACACATTGGTAGTGCCGGTGGTGTTGGTGGTGACTTTCACCACATCGTCATCGCTGCTCTCGTAGCTAGGTGAGGAATGCTTGGCTCAGCTTGGCGCCGTGATGGTCCTAGCGCGGGAGCGTCGTCGCTATCATCGTCGTCGTCGTCGTTGCGCGGGCAAGGCGGTACGCCGGGATGCTCGCCTGCGGGGTCGCGGTCAAATGTTGCTGCTGCTGCTGCCTCGTCTTCCAGAGATGCAAAGCTGCGGCCGCTGTTGGCGTAGCCTCGTGCTGCGTTGCGACGCTCGTCGTCGATCACTTCTATAAGGTAAGTCGTTCGTAGAAGAGAACATCACAAGCAGGGACGATCTGGTTGGTGTCAATGTCGAGGATGAGCCAACCCTTGTATTCGTTACCGAGTCTTAGATGGATTCCCCAGCGGGTGCAGTGAGTAAACTTGCCGATTGTGGCGGTCGTCGGTCGGTACTGTACCATGCACCCCCAAACCCTCAGCATGGAGGGGTCTCCCCTTGAGCCGGTCCACTTCATGTGTGGAGAAAGGTTGTCCCGGTGGGCCGTGGTGGAGAGGAGGTTGTGTAGGCGCACCGCGTGGTTCATGGCGTATGGCCAATACTTCTTGGGTAGGTCGGATTGGTTCATGAGAGTGTGCACTTTTGTCATGATGGTGCGGTTAACCCTCTCTGCGACACCTTGCTGCTGGTGACCGTAGGGGAGTGAAATTTGATGCTTGATCCCCTACGGTGACAACACTCTCCAGTTCGTTGCTGCGGAACTCCTTAGCGCCATCCATCTGCCAGATTTTCAGCTTCTTCCCCGATTGCCGTTGCGCGTGTGCGAGCCAGATGCGGAAGACCTCTAGAGCCTTGGAGCGAGCGTCGACGTTGGCGATCCAGACGTGGCGTGAGTAGGCGTCCACAAAGGTGAGTGCGTATTTCTCGCCGTTGATGCCGTCGCAGGTTAGCACGATGAAGTCGCTATACACCTTCTGCAGCTTCTTGTAGTGGTTGGTGCTTGGTTCCGGAGAGGGGTAGGTGTTGTGAGAGAGGGCAGCTGTGGGACAAACGGTGCAGGTAGTTGGGTGTGGGGTGTTGTGGGGTTTTGTGCCATCGGGACGCACCAGTGCTCCTGGGAGAAAAACTTGGGCGCGGAGACAATTGTTGAGAGTCTGGCGCGAGGGGTGGCCGAGTTGCTGATGCCAGAGAACGTCCTTAGCGCGGATCCCGGGAGCGCGCATGTAACGAGCACGGTGTTCCGCCACTTCTGCCTCCGTTTCCTGCAAAATCTGGAATGGGGGTTTTTCCTCTTCTCCTGGTTCTGCTTCGTTGTCCGGCTCCTCTGCTTCTGCTTCTGTTGCTGTCTCTCCTTCGGCAGGTGCCGTCGTGAGGTAGACCGCGAGAAATTCACGGTCAGGGATGATGTTGAGCGGAGTCCTCGTGCCTTCGATAAAGCGGGCGAATGGATCTAGACGGGAGATTGGACCAAGTGAGTCTCGGAGAGGAGTTGGTGGTTTTCAATCTCCGTCCGGGGGTCGTCCCAACGATAAGGTGAGCTGGGTGAAGATGGGCGATTGCGCGGAGGACGTCCAAGCGGAACGGTGACTCGTGGAGATTGCTCACCGCGCTTGGCTTTCATCTCTCGTTCGATTTCCTCGAATTCTTCCTTGGTCATCGGAGCATCTTTGTAGGTGCTTT